AAAGGCATAGGATGTGGATATGTCAAATTTTATATGCGGAGCCCCACACGGTAGCCTGGTGGCTAAAGTCCTCGCCTTGTACGTGCCAGGATCCCATATGGGCGCCGGTTTGTATCCTGGCTGCTCCACTTTCCACCAAGCTCCCTGCCTGTGGCCTGGGAAAGCAGTGGAGGATGGCCTAAACCTTGGGACCCTACACCCACGTGGGAGACCCAGAAGAAGCTCCTGGCTCCTGGCTTCAGATCAACTCAATTCTGGTGGTTACAGCCACTTGGGGAATGAATCAGCAGATGCAAGATCTGTCTCTCCTCCTCTCTGTATATCTGACTTCCCAATGAAAAATAAATAAACCTTATACGCTTCCTTGTTTCCTATACATAGATAAGCATGAAAAGCTTGAATCTATAACTTATTAGATGCAACAGTTTAACAGCGGACTGGGCACTGGCACGCGCCACACGCCACTTGACATCCGCGTCACATGCTGGAGCCCAGCGAAACTCCAGACTCCAGTTCTCTGCACACGCGCCTGGGAAAGCAGCACAGGGTGCTGCAGGTGCTTGGGCCCCGCACCCGTGCAGCCCCAGACGCAGCTCCTGGCTCCTGGCTCCGGCCTGGGCCAGCCCTGGCCGCTGTGCATACTTGGGCAGTGGATGGATGATCTGTTTCGTTCAAATAAACAATTACAAAATTGTTCTTAAAAATTAAAAAACGGGGCCTGGCGCTGTGGCCTAGCAGCTAAAGTCCTTGCCTTGGATGCGCCAGGATCCCATATGGGCACTGGTTCTGGTCCCGGCGGCTCCTACTTCCCATCCAGCTCCCTGCTTGTGACCTGGGAAAGCGGTCGAGGACGGTCCAAAGCCTTGGGACCCTGCACCCATGTGGGATACCCGGAAGAAATTCCTGAATCCTGGCTTCGGATCTGCATAGCATTGGCCGTTGTGCTCACGTGGGGAATGAACCATCAGACGGAAGATCTTCCCCGCTGACTGTCCTCTTCTATGTACATCTGACTTTCCAATAAATGAGAAACTCTTTAAGATTATTTATTTTTATTGGAAGAATCAGAGCTGACTGCAGGTTACGGAAGCCACCGAAGCGGTGGGCGTGTCCAGGCTCTGATTTCTAAGTCACTCTATTGGAAACCATTTTGCTTTCACTTCTGGAATTTTGCCTTGGGGCATTTTATCAGTGTTTTTGAAAGTTGTGAGTGTATGCAGATTATTATCCAAGGCCTTTGTTTCAGGATAATAGAAGAGGTATTATAAAATAAACAATAAAAGGGAAATGGCGAGGCTACCACGGGGGAACCCATGGCTGAAGGCACGGGTCAAGAGCGTGGACTGAGTGCATCAGCACCTGCTTGGGGTCCACACTCCTCCACCATGTCAGGCCGCACTGGTGGTGAGGTCACTGCTGAAGTAGCCTGTGGAACAGCCTCCTGTTCTCCTAGCATGATTATGAAGTCGGACACTTTGGTGGCAAGTCACCTTTTCCCTGCGAGCAGACGGCACTGCGCGTCATGAAGCCAGCAGAATGAGTGAACACAGAGCAGGGACAAGCTCGGCTGTGCGCCCGGAGAGGGGAGAGGCTCGGAGACACGCTGCAAGGAAACTGCTTTGATGGCCCTCCTGCCCCCTGCTGATGGAACATATTAGAAAACTGTCTCACAGCGGTAATGGGTCATTTTACGATGCTGAATGATATTAGAAATGGCGAATCAGACTTTTCCTGTGTCCCCATGGCCTGCGCATCTCATGTGTGTCTTTAAACAAATTCATTAACTTGAGAAGGGAGTTTGAAGCCACAATCCAAAGTGCATGGCACTCTTCTATTGTTCTTTGTATTTTAACTTTTGCAGTTCTAGAATTTGTGCAGCTTTGTCTTTAGAACTAATGTGGATGCGTGGCAGACATTCCAAGGAAAGCAGGGGACGCTGTGTCCATGCAGGGCTGTACCTGGGCCTGGGGTCTGCAAAGACCTGAGCCCGGAGCCTGATGTTTTGTCGTCCCTTGGAATGTTGCCTGATTCCTTCCTTCCCACAGGAGAGCTACTTATCTACCCTTTGCTTGGAACTGTTGTGGGCGACTCTGCCCTCGTGGTGCTGCCCTGCGCACCGGCTTTCCCACCACTTGCACTGTTTTCGTAAAGTATTAGAACTCTCCCTTTGTTTGTTTCAGCGAGTCGTCCTGAGATGATGGCCGCCTTGCTTCAGTAAGAAAGACTCGGTGCTGCATGACCTCTCATGTTCTCCGTTATCTCTAACAAGAACACACATCTTACGTAGTCAAATTTTTCAGTTCTTAAGTCCTTTTTTTTTTTTAAAGAGTTATTTATTTTGACCCTGGAAGCTACTGGCATGGGGAGAGAGGAGGCAGGACCACACCGCAGGGGAGTACCATCTGGTCCTGGAATGGACTGGTACTGTGCATGTGGAGGCTGCCAATTGCCCAGGGAAGGGGGTCTGGAGACAGAACTGGAATAGGTGCTACCAAGGGCTTGACAGGTTTGGCATAACTTCTGGGGGTCTCCAAGGACTAGGACACCACACTCTCACATAATTAAGGGAGGTAAGATGGGGTGGTTGGGAAAGGGGAGTCTGGAGGCCATGTTTAGGTCAGGCCAACACACTTGCTCGTGTGCAACAGCCGTGTCATGCTAGGCCACAGCTAGGCCACAGCACCACCCAGCTTGGCAGGTGCGAGCCACATCAGGCTGGGCCACAGTCCCCACCAACACATGGGAGAACTGGGACTGGGGGAGGGGGGCTGGTAAGGGATTTATAGGTTTGCCCCTGCTGGGTTGCAGCATCCACTGCTGTGCCTGAGAGTTGGGGCTGGTGGTGGGCTAGGCCAAGCAAGACCACACCACTTGCTGAAACCTATGAGAGCTGGGCCAGGCTGCAGTGCCTTCTGGTGTCCAGGGGTGGACCAGGCTGGGCTAGGCCACAGCAACTGGTAGAGCCATGCAAGAACCAGATTTGGGTGGGCTGAGCTGGGCTGGGCTGTAGTATCCACCGGCAAGCACAAGAGTCCTAGCTGGGGGCGGGCCAACCCAGGCAGGATTGAAGTACCCCTCCCAACACATGTGAGAACTGGGCTTAGAAATGGCCATGGTAGGGGTCACCCTAACGGCTGCAGCACCCACCAATGTGCATGATAAAGGAGTGGGGTGGAGGGCTGGGTTGAACTAAGCTACAGTACCCACTGGCATCACGAGAAACAGGACTGCGGTGGCAGTGGTGGTAAGGGTTCTGTGGGCTTGCCTCTGTTAGATTGCAGCGCCCGTTGGTAGGCACAAGCACCAGGGCTGAGGGTGAGCTGAGCTGGGCTAGGCCACAGCACCCACAGGCTAGAGTTGGGACTGGGGGTTGGCTAGGCTGGACTAGGCTGCAGCACCCACCACCATGTGCAAAAGCCAGGGCTAGGGTTGCCCTGACTAGGCCACAACATCCACTGGTATGCATGAGAGCTGGGTCTGGGCTGCGCTGGGCTAGGTCACAGCAGCAGCCAGTTTGTGTGAGAGCTGGGGCTGGGGGTGGGACTAACCAGGTAACTGCAGCGGTTGGTATATGCATTAGCTGGTATGCAGGAGATGGACCGATCCTGACCCTGCACTGGCTGGCGTACACGAGTCAAGTCTGAGGTTACTCCAGGCATTGGGGGACTCCCCAGCTAGACCGCTGGACTCAAGCCCTGACCTCAGGGAAAATCACAAAATATGTGGTCCCATCTTGGAGTGCATTTGCTGGGTCTGGGCCTCCCCAGGTGTGGATGCCCGTGCAGTGGAGAACATACTCAGATGCACAGAAAGGACAAGTCGGTTCATCATTTAAGCCAACAGAGGACATCAAGTCCCTCACCCAAACAGGGAAAGCAGGACAGGTCAAACAACTCTCCTGGCCAGGCTTTGCAGCAAACGTCTACGTCCACGGGTACACCCAGGCACGCCTGCTTGGCACACAGACGCTGGTGCGACGAAGCTGACCACTCAACTAACACTCCACATCTGGGTCTCTAAGGTGACACCCAGTGACCATCCCCACTCCGCACCGATGTACTATGGCAGCAAGGACTGCCCTCCTCCCTTCCTGCTCGGCTCCATGGATACAGAACAGACACATACAAAAAAACATCAGAAAACATTTATCTCACCCACTTTCCCTCTACACCCTGACCCGACCCCCCCAATCAGAGGCCCACATGGGTATATCGACCCTTTTAGCTAGGTTATCAATATTAAAAATAAAATTATATCAAAACAGATTTATTTTTATTTGAATGGCAGAGTCACAGAAAGGAGAGACGGATCACTCTCCAAATGGCCATAATGGCAGAAGTCGGGGTGGTGTGAAATCGTGAGCCAGGAGCACCCCTGGGGTCTCCCACGTGGTTGCAGGGGCCCAGGATTTGGGCCATCTTCTGCTGCTTAGCCAGCCCATTAGCAGGCAGACAGATTGGAAATGCAGTAGCTGGGACTTGAACTAGTGCTTGCACAGGATGCTGGCACCGCCAATGGAAGCTCAACCCACTATGCCACGGCACTGGCCCATGACAAGTACTTTTAAACAGAAGGTGAGAGTGCGTACTGAGAGGTGGGCTGTAGCTCTGTCATTCGGAACAGGCAGAAGGCTGCCTGTCAAGATGTGGGACAGAATTGCTGGAGAGGCATGAAGCCTGGCTTCCAGCCTGTGCCAGGAGAACATTCTGGAAGATGAGAGATCCATCAGGCTGAAGGTTTCTTTCTTTTTTTTTTTTTTAAGATTTATTTAATTTTTATTGCAAAGGCAGATATACAGAGGAGAAGAGACAGAGAAGAAGATCTTCTGTCCGATGGCTCACTCCCCAAGCGGCCACAACGGCTGGAGCTGAGCCAATCCGAAGCCAGGAGTTCTTCCAGGTCTCCCACACGGGTGCAGGGTCCCAAGGCTTTGGGCCGTCCTTGACTGCTTTCCCAGGCCACAAGCAGGGAGCTGGATGGGAAGCGGAGCTGCCGGGATTAGAACCAGCGACCATATGAGATCCTGAGGTGTTTGCAAGGGAAGGACTTTAACCACTAGGCTATTGCGCCAAGCCCAGGCTGAAGGCTTCTACCGAGACTGGAACGCGAGGCCAGGGTCTTCCTTAGCATCTTTCCTCGGTCACTATGTCGGGTCTGGCCTGGCCCGTTTACTTCCGGCAGAAGGTTCCTCTGGCAGAAGATTCTTCCTGGTTGAAACTTTCCTGAGTGCCCGCAGGCTGTGCACCTGCTGCAGGCGGAGGGCGAGCTCCCGCTCACAGGCCCGCTGCAGGGCTTCCGTCTTCTCTCTGTCCCAGCTCAAAGTTGCAGCCAGCGCTGTGGGGTCTTCCTTGGCAACCAGCTGCGGTGGGAACGGGAAGCCCTGAGCACCGCAGCTCCGCCCTCGGCAGCTGCTCTGGGCAAGGTGGGCTGCTGTCGGCGTGGCTTGCGGCTTCACGCTGACCTGTTGGGCTCCTTCACGGGAAGCCGGCCCAAGCCCCGGCTCACAGCACCAACCACAAAGGGTCAGGCAGAGCGAGAATGACCGGCCAAGGTCAGGTACCGGCTCCTTCCTTTCATCCTCCTTTGGAGGCCCACGACACAGCAGCAAGGGAGAGGAGAGGCCGCGACACCCACCCACGGGCTTCCCCGGCCTGAGAGGCAGCACCCCGTGGGCTTGTGGGGCCCTCCTTTCACACGGTCTCTTACAGGCCTCAGGAAAGGCTGGGGATCAGCTTTGGACTCCACTAGAAGCCCCGAGGTGGTCTGGGAGCCGCAGCCCTTGCCCTCACAGTCTGCTGGGTGTGGGCACCTCATTCCTGACCCTGCTGGGAGCCCTGTTCTCCAGCACGTGTCCCCTGGAGTCAAGGCCCTTCAGATTTAGATGCCATGAGGGGTGTGACAGCACTCTGGCATAAAACAGGCAAACAGGCCATTTCAGGGTCTGCAAAGAGGGGCAGAAAAATCCCACCCAAGCCTTAGCCTGGTGGCATGACACATGCAGGGTGGGGGTGCTTTCTGCGGCTCAGTGCCCCTGGCCCTCACCCACCTCCAGCTCCTCACTGGACAAGCTCAGCTCTGGGGCAGGATTCTCCCGCAGCGTGCGAAGCAGCCGGTTCGTGAGGGTCACCTCGGAGGAGAGCTCGCTGCTGACCCCTGTGTCGACCACATCCGTCTCTTCGCTGCAGGTGGCGCTGGTCTCTACAAAGCAGAGAGGCGCCCACGCCATCAGGCGGGCAGCAGAAAACACCATGTCCTGGGCGTGGGCAGCTCGGGCTGCAGTGCCCAGTGCGCTGCACGGCTCTCACAGGGCAACCTCCCAGGACCCACACATGAGGTACCGCCCTCTGGGGTCCTACCTTCCTGTCCTGACAAGATGCCGCCCTCCTTCTCTAGAGCCTGGAGGTAGAGCTGCAGGAGCTGCCTGGACTGGCGGGCCTCCTCCCTCTGGTCCAGCACCTGCTGCAGCGCGTTCTGGAGTCCCTGCACGGCCGCACAGCTTTGGTGGAGTTCCTGAGCCAGCTCAGCACAAGGCACGTCCACGAGCAGCTGGGTGAGCAAACACACAGACCTGCAGTCATCCACACGTGTCTTCCCAGCCTGGGGCTGCTTCCCTCAAACACACTCGGCTCAGAACTCACTTCTGGGGTCTGCCCGCTGAGCCTGGCCAGGAGGTGAGAAAGGAATGTCGATTTTTTTTCCCAAATGGTCATAACCACCAGAGCTGAGCTGATCCGACGCCGGGAGCTTCTTCCGGGTCTCCCATGTGGGTGCAGGGTGTCAAGGCTTTGGGTTGTCCCCCACCACTCTCCCAGGCCACAAGCAGGGAGCTGGATGGGAAGTGGAGCGGCAGGGACATGAACTGGCACTCACATGGGATCCTGTGGTCCCATAGTTGCAGGGCGAGGATTCAGCCACTAGGCCCTCTGCTGAGCCCTAGCATCATTATTCTTTAGGGAGGACGGAATGAGGCGAGAGAAAGGGTAAACAGCTTTCAAGAACCATAACCACCACGCTAGTCGCGATGACCCTGTGCCTGGGCCCCTGGGTCCCACCTCTCCCGTCTGCCCTCACAGTGCTTGGGACACAGGCGCTTTCTGCTGCACGCAGGTCAACCTCAAAGGCTTTTCTGGAGAGGCCCGAGCTCTCCCGTGGAAGTTTAGAGGTCAGGGGTCAGCATCAGTCATGCTCCTCTCTCATACGCTGGCACCCCTGTTTCGTTACAGCCCAACGTGCTTCACAGTCTAAACAGCCTGTTAGAGGGCGAGGGGACCTCAGGAACCCTTGCTTCTTAAATTATCATTTTTTTTTTAAAAATGAATTCATGAGGCTTGCTCCTGCCTTCCCTCTTCCTGGAACATCGGCCCCAACCTTCCCCGAGGCTCCAGGTTTCGCTGGCACTCACGGAGCCTACTAACGCTTTTCAGATGCATATGCCCTCTAACTCAGCAACTGGACCTCTAGGGACCTACCCTCCACACAGGCCTGCAGGCAAAGCACCCCAGCGTGGGCCCGTGCAGCAATGCACGGCAGCACGGACACCGACCTGGTGGCGAGCGGGCTCATGACCTAAGTCCTGGTTCATCACGACAGGAGACAGCAAGCAGTGGTGCAGACAAGGCTGGCGTTTAGGTACCACGCGAGATCTGCAGACAAAGCGGCTACACCTCCATTTGTACAGAAAAGGAGAAAAACATATACAAATTGTCTCTAAAATGTCTCTGGAGGGGCTGGCACTGTGGGTTTGGTCGTGACCTGTGACACCAGCATCCCATGTGAGCGCTGGTTCAAGTCCCGGCCAGGCTGCTTCCGATCCAGTTCCCTGGTAACATGCCTGGGGAGGCAGCGGGGGAAGGCCCACGTCTTCAGGCTCTTGCCTCTCAAGCAGGAATCCTGGCTTCAATGTGGCCAGATTGGAGGTCACTGCTGTGGCCGTTTGGGGTCAACCCACAGATACAGGCTCTGTCCCTGTGCCTTGCAATTAAAAAAATGAATCTAACAGGATGGTCGCCTGCAGGAGGCTCAGGGCTCAGATCTCTCTTCTGAGTCCTTTCTGTCCAAGTCTGCGGCACCAGAGCACGCTGTGCAGTCAGCCCACAGCACGCTCCCACTTCGGTGGCTTTTCCACTCTCTGCAGTTGTGCAACATCTTCGGCACCCCCAGAAGGAAACCCACTGGCAGTTACGCCGCCTGTCTTAACCTTCCCTCCCCCGCCCCAGGCGACCCCTTCTCTGCATTCCAGTTCCGCAGATCTGCATGGCTGGCACACTCACTGGGCAGACCTGGCCTCCCGTCTGGCCTGCACGCAGCATGGCATTGCCCAGGCCCATCCACGCCGCTGTCCTAGCCCACGGCATGGTTTACACAGACTACCACCGTCCGCGTCCTAACAGACATCGGGGGCCTGTGTACCTGCTTTTCTGTGCCTTTTGCGATACTGAACTGCATTCATACTATCCAAACCAGATGTGTACGTCCTTTAAACAGAGGTATCATCCACTTCCCAGTGCACAGGGGCGCCCAGCACCCATCAGCTGGTTCTCTCCTTGGATGCCTGCAAAGGACAAGCCCAAGGCAGGAGCTGGGAACTTCATCTGGGCCTCGGTGTGAGCGCCAGGCCCCAAGTCCTCGGGCCAGCCTGGCTGCCTCCCAGGGTCTGGCTCAGCAGGAAGCCAGAGTCAGAAGCGGAGCCATGGATGGAACACCCAGAGGCTAAACTCCTGGCTCGAAGCTGCAGTGACCTGAATGAGAAGTGAATCCAGACCCCACGGCTCACCACTACCAGCAGCACCCTGAGGCGTCCACAGCAGGCCTGGGGGTGGGGGCGGGTGGTCTCAGCATCTCGATTCGAAAACCCTTAAGTGGGGGCAAGCACCACGGCACAGCAACATAAGCCTTCGCCTGTGGAAGCAACACCTCATGGGGCACCAGATCGAGTCCCAGCTGCTCCATTTTTGATCCAACTCCCTGCTTGTGGCCTGGGGAAGCAGTAGAGGATGGTCCAAAGACTTGAGATCTGCAGCCGTGTGGGAGACCTGGAAGAGGCTCCCAGCTTTGAACTGGCTCAGCTCTGACCATTGAGGCCACTTGGAGAGTGAACTAATGGATACAAGATCTTTCTCTCTGTAACTTTATGGGGCAAAGGGCGGTGGGGGACTGCCTACCTGGAGGTCCCCCTCGGACAGGAGGACGATGCTGGACAGGTCTTCTTTCAGCTGCCGGGCCACGTTCTTCCACTTTAACTCCGCTGCACTGTCTGTCTCATCGACCTCGAAGGACTCCTGGGAAATCCACGCCGTGCCTCCATCTGCAGATGACAGTGTGCGCCCGGCACATCAGGGTAGCCTGGAGCGTCTCTCTGACACCTCCTAATCCCTGGCCCTTTGGCCTCCTGCGCTTCACTGGCTGCTGTTCCTGGGGCTAAGGAGAAGTGGCCTGGCCCAACTGCTACTCAAGGCTGGGTTCTTCAGGGGCGGCTCTGCCACCCCTACCATCAGTGTCTCCAGAGTGGCTAGGGGCAACCCTGCCCACCCAGGAGACACACAACAGCATCTGGGGACACTCTTGATAGGCACAGATCAACTGCAACCAAGCCCTGGCACCTACAGTAGCATCACTGGGTGAAGCCTGCCGGGACAGGTGCACCTGCTGTCTTTACAGAGCAGGTGCTGTGAGCATCATGCCAAGCAGGCACCGAGAGGTTATGCCATGGGCCAGGCATCACCTGGTGAAGAAAGCACAGAGCCAGGACCCGAATCCCAACCGCAGCCTGCTGTGCTGAACTCCCTCCAGCAGCTCCCGCCTGCCTGTGAGTTCAGAATGGAGCTCGGGTCGCATGGATCCTTATTTCCAGGACTGAGCACGTGGCAAGGACCCTTGAGTTAAGGCTTGAGCAGCCAGCTCCCCGTGACTCAGCTGTGTTTGTGGTGGAGACCCTGCGGCTGATGGCTCTGGACTCCTACCTGAGTTGCTGTATATCCACTTCTCGTTGCTGGCCAAGGCCACGAATTTCGTATTGGAAGGCAGACACAGGAAGTAGTCGTCATCATCCACTATGGTGCCATCCTCAGCCAGGACCAGAGTGACCGGGGTCAGGGCCTTGTCGATGGCCAGGATGTCACAGGCTGAAAGGGAAGACAGTCCTTGGTAACGGACACACGCCCACTGGGAAACAACACTGTCCTTGTCCTCTCGGTATGGAGCTGCCCAGAGAGGGGCTGAACTGCTGGCAGGTGGCAGTGAGACCACTGACACAGCCAGCAGCACTCGCCTAACACCTGGTGCCTGGTTCTGGTCTAGACACTTCTAGAATGACGTCTGCCCATTGCACAAATGGCAAATCCTAAGCTCTGAGAGGCTCAGCTAACTTGTCCAAAGTCACAGAGCTCCTAGAGGCACATTCACTGTGGCCATCTGGAGAATGAACTAGCAGATGGAAGATCTTTCCTTCTCTGTTTCTATCTCTAAATCCTGCCTTTCCAATAAAAAATAAATTAAAAATTAGATTCAAATTGCTTTTTTTTAAAGATTTATTTTATTTTTATTGGAAAGGCGGATATACAGAGAGGAGAGACAGAGAGGAAGATCTTCTGTCCGATGATTCACTCCCCAAGTGAGCGCAACGGCCGATGCTATGCCAATCCGAAGCCAGGAGCCTCTTCCGGGTCTCCCACGCGGGTGTAGGGTCCCAAAGCTTTGGGCCGGCCTCGACTGCTTTCCCGGGCCACAGGCAGGGAGCTGGATGGAAAGTGGGGCAGCCGGGACCAGAACCGGGGCCCATATGGGATCCCGGGAGTGCAAGGCGAGGACCTTAACCACTTGCGCCATCGCGCCGGGCCCCTTTCTTAGCAACTTTTATAAACCTATAGAAAAGGAAAACGGAAGTCCGGGCTCATTCCACTCTCATGACCACTGGACAAGAGGCAGGTCTGTACCATGGCACTTAGGGTCAGCAATCTCAAAAACTACCATGGGCCTGGAGGAGGCACAAGAGGCCAAAGGACAAATATCCCTCAGCAGGGCCCTGCGCAGTGGCCTAGCAGCTAAAGTCCTCACCTTGAACGCGCCAGGATCCCATATGGGTGCCGGTTCTAATCCCATCCCGGCAGCCCCGCTCCCCATCCAGCTCCTGCTTGTGGCCTGGGAAAGCAGTGAAGGACGGCACAAAGTCTTGGGACCCTGCATCAGCGTGGGAGACCCGGAAAAGGTTCCTGGCTCCTGGTTGGCTCAGCTCCAGCCATTGTTGCCACTTGGGGAGTGAGTCATCGGATGGAAGATCTTCCTCTCTGTATATCTGACTTTCCAAATAAATAAATCTTTAAAAAAAAGAAATATGCTTCAGCAACACCGCCGCCCAACCCAGGCAGAAACCAGCAAACCGGGGCAGACTGAGCTCACACAACCAATGCACCTTGGGGTACCGAGTGTCAGGATGCCAGCAGAAAACAAACAGCTCAGTGGCAAAATCCATGCCACCCATGGCCTGTCGCCCCGTGGGGCTTTCAGACACCAGTTGATAGCGCCCTCACAGTGCACCTCCAGGACAGGTGCCCGCTCGCAGGCTTAGCGTGTCAGAGCAGCTTCAGAGAGCCTGTTGCTACGGCTAATCCTACTTTTAAATCGCTTGAATATTATCATTGCACAGTCCCGCAGGGCTCGGAGCAGGGACTGGAAGCAGATCCACCCTGCCAAAGAGGAAACTGCGGGTCCAAGTGCAGGTTTAAGCTGCACGGGGCAGGGGTCAGCGTTTCTCCCAGCTCAGATTCCGATCTCCTCCGGTCCTGGGAGCGTCAGCAGGAGGCGGCAGCCCTTGCTCGTCCTGACCCATTCAGGCTCGATGTGGCCCCAGTCCCCATCATCTCAGGTAAGATACTGACTGACGACCACTCTCCCCCACGGGGTCTCGCACCTGCTCCCAGGCGCCCCCCACCTCATCCTGCCCGGGTGCACCCAGCTCCCCTGCCCGGCCCCGCGTGCCAACCCTTGCTCCTGAGCTCCTCCAAGCAGGAGGCCGCCACGCCGTACTGCTCGAGGCTGTGGTTGCGGCGCAACAGACACGGTTTCAAAGGTCGCAGCTCGCCGTGCCCCTCAGGGTCGGCGACCCCGGGCACCTCCATCCTGCCCAAGGTTGGCGCTTGACGACTCCCGGAAGTCGCGCGGCCTGCCGGGAGATGTAGTTCTCTCGGCGTGAGAGCAAAGCACACCGGGAGACGCAGTTTGGGTCGCTGCTCGTATGCAAAGTCCCGGGGCATGGCGGGAGCTGTATTTTCTGGGTGTAAAGGTTTTAGCTTCTGCTTAGCAGTTGCAAGGGCACATTGACAAGCGGGTCGGTGGCGAGGTATTTTGCATTTGGAAGCACTTGCACGTACGCTTCCTTGAAAATTTAGAGCATTTCTGTTTGCACCTCTAGGTGCAAAATATTAAGAGTGTCGCTGTATTTTCTTTTTCACTTTGAAAGACAAAAAAGTTCTGTGAGATGTTCCAAGCTTCAAGCTGAATTGTAACACAAGTCGAATTTGATCGTAGTCTTCAGTCTACACCAGTCTGCCCAGGTTTCTGATTTGCTTGAGCCTGGATCTCTACCAAATGCGTAAATTTACCGAAAATAGCAATCATAGGACACTGTTGTGTTGAGCTAAGCTCCTACACTAGGCCCCGACAGATCTGGCAGAAAATCAAAATGAATTCTTGGGCCAGTGCTCTGGTGTTGTTAATTAAGTCTCTGCTTGCACTGTTAGCATCACACACTGGCACCAGAGTTCAGCTGCTCCAGTTCCAATCCAGCTCCCTAACACACCTGGCAAAGCGTGGGAGGGCGACCCAAAACCTTGGGTCCCTGCATCCACTGGAAGACCCGGAAGAAGCTCCTGGCTCCTGGTTTCAGATCAGCTCAGCTGCGACTATTGTGGCCACTTAGGAGTGAACCAACAGATAGGAGAGATCTTTATGTTTGTCCTTCTCTCTGTAAATCTGATCTGCCTTTCCAATAAAAACAAACAAACAAAAAAATCTTTAAAAAAGTTACTGGAACACTCCGTACCCGCCTTAGGCTTCTGGCCCGCGGCCCTGCCCCAAGGGACTCTAGGAAACCCAGAGTTGGCTGCTGGCTGAAGCGAGTGCTAGCATCTCTCTTCTTGCCCTACTTCCTACTATTTCCTCTCCTGGGTAGACCCACCCCTTGGGACTCTAGCCGAGGGACACATTGACAGAGGGAGGTGGCCATGGCCCCACCACTCAGCTGCAGCCCCTGGAGCCTCTGGCCCTGGCCGCCCCCCCACCTCACAGGCTCCTTGCCCTGCCCTGGGGGTCTACTTGTTGTAATAAAGAATTCTGACAGGGCCCAGCGCGATGGCGCAGTGGTTAAGGTCCTCATCTTGCACACCTGGGATCCCATATGGGCGCTGGTTCTAATCCCGGCAGCCCCGCTTCCCATCCAGTTCCCTGCCTGTGGCCCGGGAAAGCAGTCGAGGACGGCCCAAAGCTTTGGGACCCTGCACCCGCGTGGGAGACCCGGAAGAGGCTCCTGGCTTTGGATCAGCATAGCATTGGCCCGTTCCACTCGCTTGGGGAGTGAATCATCGGACGGAAGATCTTCCCCTCTGTCTCTCCTCTCTGTATATCTGCCTTTCCAATAAAAATAAAATAAATCTTAAAAAAAATTCTGACAGCAAAAGAAAAAAACAAACAACAACAACAAAAACCTGAACAACAACAACAAAAGTAACCTGATTTTAGGGGCCTGGCACAGTAGCCTAGCGGCTAAAGGGCACCGGTTCTAATCCTGGCAGCTCCTTGCTTGTGGCCTGAGAAAGCAGTCCAGGATGACCCAACGCCTTGGGACCCTGCACCCGCGTAGGACACCCAGAAGAAGCTCCTGGCTTCAGATTGGCGCAGCTCTGACCACTGTGGCTGCTTGGGGAGTCAATCATCGGACAGAAGGCCTTCCTCTCTGTCTCTCCTCCTTTGTGTATATCTGACTTTGCAATTAAAAAAAAAAAATCTTGAAAAAAACTGACTTTAACAATTGGTCACTTTTCTACTACTGTTTCTCATGTCCATATCATAAAGAAAGTAACTTCAAAATGACCAATTCACTGTTTTTTGGTTTTTCCTGCTTTTTTTTTAGCACTTTTCAATCTACAGACATAACATTTCTGCTTGCTTGACTAAAACACTGCTTTTACTTTGTGGAACAATGTGTCACCTGACTGGAAAAAAATCAAGAATAAAGCCATTTAAGCTAAATCGCTATAGATATGTATTTAGGCAATTAAGGTCTCAAGTCAATCAGAGATGAAAGGGGAATTGTGGATCTTTGTTGGTCAAATGCTGCTCCGTACCATCCATCTTGGTTTTGTGTCTTTAAGAGCTGTGTATTTGAGAGCAGAGTGACAGAGATGGAGCAACTCAGACAGCTCTTCCGCCCTGCACGCTCAGAACAGCCGGTTCCGGCAGTCTGAAGTCGGGGTCCAGGAGCTGCTGTCTGGTCTCCCACATGGTGGCACAGACCCAAGCTTTGGGACCACGGGCATCAGCAGGAAGCGGGATGGCGAGTGGAGCACGCAGGGTTTGAACCAGCCATTCTGATTTGGGACGGTTGGTGTTCCAAGGGGTGGTTTTACTTGTCTTTGTTTTGATAGACTTTGAATAAAGGATTTGTGTATTGATTTGAAGGAAGTACAGAGAGGCAAAGAAGAGATAGATATCTTCCACTCGGTGGTTCACGCCCCAGGTGGATATAATACGAGCTGAGGAGAAACCAAGCTTCATCAGGGTCTCCAGCATGGGTACCAGGATCCCAAACATTAGGCCATCTTCTGTGGCTTTCCCTAACCACCCGCAGGGAGCTGGATTGGAAGTGGAGCAGCCAGGACATGAACCGGCACCTTCTGATGTTACAGGTGGTCACTTCACACACAGTGCCACAGTGCTGGTCCCAACGCTGCTGCTAAAAATGAAGAAAATGAAAGAAAATGAAGAAAAGCCCATGTTCTCTCTTTTTTTTCCAATTGAGGCAACAATACCAGTTCCCATATGGGATCCCGTCACACTCAAGGCGAGGACTCTAGCCGTTAGGCCATGCTACCAGGTCCAGCCCATGTTCTTTATCCTGAAAAACTAACATTTAAGGAAAAAAAAGTTATCAACCAGCTCCCCTTGGGGTTGCAACAGCGGCGTAGGCTATTCCTCCGTCTGCACGCCTATCGTTACCAGTTTGACTCCTGGCTGCTCCCAGCTCCCTGCTGGTGCACCTGGGACAGCAGGACAGGTGGCTCAAGTCCGTGTCCCTGCACTCAAGCCGGGGACCTGGAGGACGGGCCAGCTTCCGCTGTGTGACCATCTGAGGAGTGAGCCTGCAGAAAGATCTCACTCCTTCTCTGTAACTTTCAAAATAAATTATTTCTAGTGTATGCAGCCTTTTTTCATATAACTTAGTATTTCGTTTCAAATCTCAGAGTTCAGGTGCTATGAAGAAACGACGACAGGTCCCCTCTTGTGAACCTGTTGCCAGGTGCACCTGTTACCGGAGACGGGTTTTTGTTGGGGCTGGGCTTGGGAGCCAGGGCTGGGTCTCAGAGCTTCTCAATTTTACCGCTTAACAACGTGCCTGGGAAATAGTGGACACTTAGCCAATTGTACTAAAGTGAATGGTTAAAAAGTCATTTCCAACCTACTTTCATTTATTTTTAAAAAGTTATTTAGCTCCTGGCTTCGTGAGGGGACGGGCAGAGAGTTCGTTCTAGAAGAATCGCGCGCACGTAGCAATTCTAAAAGGACACGCACTTTGCATCTTCCTGCGTCGACCCGGAGGAAACTCCCAAATCCTAGCCCCATCGACAGGCTCCGCTCCGGCTACTTTAGCCTGGCCGGGAGGGAGAAGCCGCGCGCCGCGGCGATCGACTCGTCGGGCCTCACCAAGATGGCGTCCTCGGAGCAGGGAGAGCAGCCGGGCCAGGTGAGGGGAGCGCGACTTCCCCTGTCGGGGTGTCGGCGGGGGGACCCCGCCCGGGGGCCGTGGGCGCGCGACAGGGAACCGGGCCGGGACCCCGAGGCTCGGGAGCCGGCGGCCTGCGGGCTCCGGGCCCCACCTGGCGAGCCCCGCCCCTCCCGGGTCCTCCCCCGGTGACCCCTCAGCGTGTCGGGGGGCTCGGGTGCCGCTTCTCCCCCGTCCATCTCGGACTTGGCGGGAGTCCCCGGGAGCCCCCCGCCTTGGGGCTCGGGCGTTCGGGGTCCCGCTCCCCATCCCACAGCGGGGTCCTGCAGGGGTGGCCCCGCCGCCGGCCTCTGCGTCCTGAGGCACCTGTGCGCGCCGCGCGCTCCAAGTTGCCGGGTGGGAGAGGAGGGCGCAGCTGCCGGCGGACCAGCAGCCCTCGCCGTTGCCTCGGGCTTGGTTTTTAAATTATTATTTTTTTCTCGGCCCAGGGCTGTGCTTTGAGCGTTTCACCCGCAGCTTTAACTGAGTGCCGTTCCGGGTCGGTCAGGGCGCGAGAGGGGCAGGCAGCGTGGGCGCCCTGCACCTGTTACCGGGAGGTCGTGGTGGTGGTGGTGATGATGATGATGATGTTGATGTTATTTCTGAAGGGGCTTCCAGGCCACGCGTGGGGCAGGTGGGGTGAGGAGAAGGGTGCTGAGAGAGACCTCCCGGGTGCCCTGACCCCGAGGGCAAATTTCATCTCTGGTCTCATTTCTAAACTTTGCCAAGTAGAGGCTGTTAGACCACTCCCACTCCTCCGCTTCTCAGAAGTGACAACTAAAGGTAGATGAGGGTTGAAGCCGCGTGAGAGCGTGATCGTGGGCGCACCACTTAGTTCTCCTAAGTCAGCCGTGTGCCAGAGGACCTGAGAAATTCCCAGAATGTGGAATGAAACAGTCACGTTTTCCGTGAAGTGTTTGGAACCCCGTGAATGTTTTCTTGGGATTAGAGTGAGCAGCTTTGCATTTGCAGCAGTTCACGCCTTCCCAGGCAGCTGGGCAGTGTACTGAGGGTTTCCTGCCTGTCCCTGGAACGGCACTTAAAGGGGGGTGGGTCCCCTGAGAGCTGGGGGAGCAGTCACAAGGAAGGGGGCTGTGTTGTGTCTGGGACCCCTGCCGGTCCGCTTGCTGTGAAGCTCTGGGGCCTGGGGAGTGTCTTGGGAGGATGGACCCTTCTTTCTCGGCTGTAATATGGGGGCTGCTCAGAGTCCGAGTTTCTCAGGCCACAAGCAGGGAGCTGGATGGGAAGTGGAGTAATCGGGATGTGAACCAGGGTCCCATTGTGGAACCGCAGGTGGAGGGTTAGCTGGTTGAGCCACTGCACTTGCTTTTCAGCAGTGATTTCCTGAAGTTCCGGGAATTCTGTGCCTCTGCCCGTTGACATGTGCCAATGGAGCTAAGGTTCCTAAGCATGGCTAGGCCAGCGCTTGGCTGTGGGTGTTCAGTCCCGGCTGGCCTTTGCCCTTCTTTCTGAGGTTGGCGAAGGTGGGATTGCATCAGAGCGTGCTGCTGGCTGGGGGAATTTGACTTGCCAGGCCAGATTCTGTTGCTGTCAGTGAGCTCAGCTGCCGGCTTTCTCAGGCAGCCACTGGGTTTCAGCACTGCCTTGTTCCTAATTTTCCGCCTCCCCAGTCAGCATGTGGTGAGAGCCAAAGGACTTGCTGGAATACCACGCCTCCCCCCTTGGTGTGTGTCTGAACAGAGCTGCTCAGGGCTGGGCCTGCGGCCCGGCTGTGTTTTCTGTGTCTCCCTGGACTTTTGTTGGTTGGCCTTGGGGCAGCTTCTGGTGAGTGGAGAGCAAAGGTTAAGATTAAGAGAGGGTGAGGTGGTAGTTGGTTGAGGGCTGCTGTGGCATGGTTGCAAGTGTGGAAGCTGAAGGCAGGCCCTCTGGCTTCCACTCCGACCCCACCACTTAGAACTGTGGGATGCAGGAGGGGTTACTTTGGAGTTTCTTCATTTGTAGACTAGTGCCGGCCTCCCAGGGTTGCGCACGGTTACATGAACCAGTGTGTGTAAAAGTGCTTGGCAACATACCTGACGTATGTTTCTAATATTCCATTTAATAAACTGCATTTTTATCTACAGATGGACCTGAACGTTTACACAGGTTCCCATTAAAAAAAAACCGATTTACTAATTTATTTGAAAGGCAGTGTTAGAATGGGAGACAGGGAATGGCTGAGATCTTCCACCTGCAGGTTTACTCCCCAAGTGGCTGTGTTGACAGGGGCGGGCTCGGCCTAAGCCAGGGACCAGAAGCTTCCTCTGGGTCTCCCACACGTCACAGGCACCTGGGTCGTCTTCTGCTGCTTTTCCTAGGCTGTTTGTTAGCTGGGAGCTGGAGTGGAAGCAGCCAGGACACAAACTGGCACCCATATGAGATGCTGCTGTTGCAAGTGGCAGTTTTATCCACTGCACAGCACCATCCCTGCGCAAGCTCTGTGACAGCATCTTTGGGGTATGGTTTTTATGATTGTTTATTTATTTAAAAGGCAGAACAACAGAGTTGGGAGAGAGAGATCTTGCATTCTCTGATTTATTTCTTAAATGACCACAGCAGCCAGCTCTAGGCCAAGCAGAGGCCGGAAGTCAGAAATTCTCTCCAGGGCTCCCATGTGGGTGGCAGGTGCAGTAGCAGGGAGTGGGTCCAAGGTAGATGTCCAGTGGAATAGGCAGGACTTAGACTGTCGCTCTGACGTGGGGTGCTGGCATCAACTATCTTAACCCACAACACCAGCCCTTGGGGCGCTCTCTTTTAAAACACTAATTAATTAATCATTTATATATGTGTGTGTATAGATGGTCTAGTTAAGTGGGCTAGTCAAGTTCTTTTCTTAGATCTGAGTTCATTTCAAGTTGAAAGGAATGCCTCAAGTGCTCCTGCTCATGCCCCCGTCCTTGGTGACTGGCAGTTCAGGGATAAGCCTTCTTTTCATAATGGTCTAGTCTTTTTAAAAAATTACAGTGATTTAAAATGATGTTTCTTTTGGGCCCTGTGCAGTAGTCTGGTGGCGTAACGCTTCACCTTGTGTACCCAGGATTCCACGTGGGCAGTGGTTGGAGTCCTGGCCGCCCCACTTCCCTTCTGGCTCCCTGCTTGTGGCCTGGGAAGGCAGTAGAGGATGGCCCAGGTTCTTGAGACCCTGCACCCATGTGGGAGACCCAGAAGAAAATTATGGCCACCTGGGGAGTGAACCAGTAGATGGAAGATCTTTCTGTCTCGCTTTTGCTCTGTATATGTGCCTTTCCAAGAAAAGTAAATGAATCTTTTTTTTTTTAAAGATTTATTTTTATTATTTTTTATTGGAAAGGCGGATATACAGAGAGGAGAGACAGAGAGGAAGATCTTCCGTCCGATGATTCACTCCCCAAGTGAGCGCAACGGGTCGATACTATGCCGATCCGAAGCCAGGAGCCTCTTCCGGGTCTCCCACGCGGGTGCAGGTTCCCAAAGCTTTGGGCCGTCCTCGACTGCTTTCCCGGGCCACAGGCAGGGAGCTGGAAGGGAAGTGGGGCTGCCGGGATTAGAACCGGCGCCCATATGGGATCCCGGGAGTGCAAGGCGAGGACTTAACCACTTGCGCCACCGCGCCGGGCCCGAAAAGTAAATGAATCTTAAAAAAAAAAAGTTTCCCAGGCCACAAGCAGGGAGCTGGAAGAGAAGTACAGCAGTTGGGACACGAATCCCCAGGTGCCCGTATGGGATCCTGGCACAGGCAAGGCAGAGGACCAGCCAGTTGAGCCATTGTGCCAGGTCCTGAAATGTCTGTTCCCTTTGATTTATTTTGGAGACAGAGATTGAGGTCTCACTGCCTCACTCCACAGATGCCAGAGTCAACCATGTTGGAGCCGGGAGCCTGGAAGCAGCCTGGGTCTCCTGTGTCTGGCAGCTGTTCTTAGCTTCCACAGTTAGCCTCGGGTAGGTCTGGGGCTCCGACCTAGGCACCATGAGTGGGTTCTAGGGAAAGGGGGAGAGAAAGACACATACACACTCATGCAGATAGAGAGGGAGAGAGATCTTCCATCAGCCAGTTTAATCTCCAGATAGCCGCAACAGCCAGGGTTGAGGGCTGAGCCGGGCCAAAGCCAGGAGCCAGGAGCTATGTCCGAGTCACCCACATGGGGAACAGGGACCCAGACACGAGGGCTGTCCTTTGCTGCTTTCCCAGCCTGTTCATAGGGAACTAGATCTGATCTGGAGCAGCCAGGTCTCAGCTGCCACCCTTAGGGGCTGCCTGCATTGCAACCCAGTGGCTTAGCACATTTTGTCATAATGCCGACCCTCAAAATTCCTTAAAAATTGTTTAAAAATATGTATGTATGTGTGGTATGTGTATGTGTGTATACATAGATGCACATGTGTTTTCATGTATGCACACGCATGTAGGTATATGTCTGTGTCTATACGTGGGCATGCATGCGTATATACACATACACGTGTTTATATGTAGATATGTGTATGCACACACGTGTAAGTATATATGTGCATACATGCACATGCTTGTGTTTATAGGTACATGTGTGTATGTACACACGTGAGTATGTGTATATATGTGCATGCATCTGTGGCATGTGTGCGTGTGTGTGTATATGTGTGTGTGTGTACGTGTGTGTGTGCGTGCATGTATTGGAAACACAGTTATAGAAGGAGGAAGTGAGGGAGGTTGATCTTCCATTTACTGGCTAACTCCCCAAGTGGCTGCAGTGGTCACAATGGCCAGGGCAGGGCCAGGCCAGCCAGGAGCCAGGAACTCCATCGTGGTCTCCCATATGGGTGGCCAGGACCCACTTATTGGGCCGACACCCATTTTTTCCCAGGTGAGTTAACAGCAGCTGGATTGGAAGTGGAGCATCCTGGGTTTGAGCCTGTGCTCCAGTGTGGAACTGTCCACATCTGAAGTAACGGCTCAGCCCACTGCCCCACAGTGCCTGATCCTGTTGGAACGTCCTGATTGGTGCATGTCGTGCTGCTGTTTTTTCCAC